TTAGCCTTAATTTGTTTGTTAACTACTCGAAGTAGTGCCTTGCACAAGTTGGGTGGTATAAAAAGCTAAATGAATGAATATAAATATTCAGAACACCGCCTCATTCAATCTCTTTCACAAAAATGCACACACACCCTCATTCAATTTCTCTTTCACACACATGCACGTACACACGTGCAATATACTCAACAACATGCAGACAAACCCACACATGCACAAATGCCATTGATTCAGTCACATACCTAAACAACACCCTTCTGACACTCTATTTGCAGATAGTTCCTACTTCAATTACATTTCTTCAGTCAGCTGGTTTTGTGTCATGTTTGTAAGACACAGTAAGATGTTTAACTGCCCCAATTGTCCTTCTGAGCATCTTTTTACGTTTCTCATATGCAGCTGATGGGGATTTGATTCAATTTTTCTTCCTCAGGCCCTTCCTGTTGTTGTTATTTTGACTTGTATGCCATCGCACAGTACTAGAGCATTCCATGGACAGTCTACAACGTAATTATGCAAAGAACACTTTGCCCCCCCCAGTGAACTTTTTCCGACCTCAAAGGATGGAAATCTGAGTCAACCTCCAGTGGACTACCTGAACCTGTTGAGATTGAACTCAGGTTGTAAGCAGAGGCTTGACTGCAGTACTGCAGTTTAACCTCTGTGCCACATGAGTGATTTGGGCTATAATGCCCATCAGTCCTAGCTAGCACAGCCAGTAGTGAGACATGATGGGTGTTGCAGTACAACACCTTGCCCACTCTTTCTGTATACAATGGCAGAAGAATCAAATGTCTTTACATTTGCATATATGGAAATGCCGGACAATGGACCAACCAGGCACCGCTTTTATAAAAAACACACGTTAGATACCATTGCACTATGATCTTTCCCAGCTGTGGGGTAGATTCTATTTTCCAAAATGTAGTCAGACTCTCCCCATTTCTGAGTTTGCAATGTGTGAGTAAGAACAGGCCAAGATAGCACCTTCCTTAAATCTCCAGGCATGAAATTGATCTCTGGACTAAATGCACTGGTTTTTGGAGGTGAGATAGCGTTAAGCCTTGGACAACCATTTCCATTCATTCCCAGCTGGAACTTGGTCTCTCTGTGTGTTTTTACCTTTTGCACAACGCAGCAGACCAAAAAGGCCAGCGTCAAAGGAAGGTTACCTAGCAGAATTTCAGCAGTGTATTCGCGAAGGCTGGGATCTGATGGTTGTTGGGGGTTTTTCGGGCTCTTTGGCCGTGTTCTGAAGGTTGTTCTTCCTGACGTTTGGCCAGTCTCTGCGGCTGGCATCTTCAGAGGATGGCACTTCAGCAGGTTCACAGCTTTGGATCCATCGCACTATTTCTGCAAATGGCAGGCCGAGAAGGATTTCTTAGCGTTTCCCAACCCTAACCCTATCCTGGTTTCCTGACATCAGCTGGATTTGCCTCCTAGTCTTTTTGTTCACTGAAATCTCAGAGAATGGGATGCAATGAACAAGACTCATCATAAGGCACTCTTAAATCCCATTCCTCTCCACTCCCAAGAACAGCAGGTGCCCTGCATTGTGGGAAAATTCCCAGGGAACCACCACTAGGACTAGTCCAAGTAGCAGTTGCATGAAAACGGGAGAGATCTCTGATAAATGAAAACAGACTGCAGTCTTTAGTTATAAAGCATGTCACCGGTGAATCAGGAAGGAAAATGTCTCCTGGAGAAAGTGTCTCCTGGAAAATGTCCTCCTTCTTCCCCTGAGGCATGTCTTTTTATTAAGTACCATCATTAGCATTTTTAGCATAAAGATAAGATTTTAGCTAAAGAGGCATCGAGTAACAATCTTGTATACACATTCCACACATGCGCAGAGAGAAAATCATAGAACAATGCTTGATTATGCTAAGCACCACTGGTGTATCCCTTAATATCCACAAGATGGAACTTTAGTCTAAAAACTTCCCACTAAAAACTTCCCACACTGGATCTGTAAGATTGTACTAATTTTTCATGAAAAATAATTAAAAATTCCCTGTTGCTCTCCCCCAAATAAAATGTAAAACTGTCGAAGGAAGTAGCAGGTGTTGGCCATGGTAAGTGGAAGGGGGATAATGGAATCTGTAGTCCAAAAATAAAGGTCTGTAATGGGAGTATGCGTTTCTTTCTGTCTTTCACATTACATTGGGGACGTACATAGGAGGAGGAACGGATGGATGGAGGGACCGGACAAATAGATATGTACAGTACACACTTAGATACACACTGCTAGCTTTCAAAGTGCCAGAATGTTTTGTCTGTAGTGTTTTCCCTCCCTCCTTAATACCTACCGATCTGTAATGTTGAAAATCCCTTCTAAGCGGAGGGTGGGGGTGAAGGAAACATATGGCTTCAAAAATATGCAGGAAATCTAATATACCATCAGCATCTTCTAGTCAAACGACGTACCTTTCTGTCTTTGGACAGAGAAATGGAGAGTTGCCAGGCTAGACTAACCCTTCTTTCAGTTCTATTGGAAGCGTGCAGGAATAAAGAGGGGGAAAATCCGTGATTCCACCAATGTTTAGAGCACCGCGATCCTCTGGATTGGTTTTTCAGCAACCAAGTTGAATTAAGTGTACAGAGGATAGAGGACGTTTCGCCACACAGCTGCAAAGGAAATTAAGAGGCAGCACGCACTATTTTTTTAAAAATCGTTTTATTTTTAATGCTATTTTCACCATTAAGTTGATGTTTGTGATTTTATTGCAAATCAGTTCTCATTATTTCATGCAATTCTGTAAGCTGCCTTCAGTAACACCTCTGGGAGACAGGTGGCATATTAAATAAATAAATAATTGGTCAAGTAACTCAGTTACTTGAATAAGTAAGTACAGCAGATGAATAAATGAATGGAGTTCTCTCTGCCGATGAAGATGCGTCTCTCTCTCTTTTTCTATCTCTATCGGACTGCCTGGGCGATGGGGAGGGGAGGGGCACATCATATTTGAGTGCCGCTCTAGCCGCCTAAAAAACTCCATGGCGAAAGTTTCCTCTTGGGTCCGCTAGCAAAAAAAGCGGTGTCCTTTTAAAAATGTTCCTCCCCCGTTTCCGTTGTTTGGATGGGTGTCTGCAGACGCTGAAGGTTGGTTCCGGGAGCGGGTGAGGTCCGGGTAACAAGGGAGAGGTGGACTGGGGGGTTTGCAGGCAGAGGGTGACGGTTGGCCGTGGATGGCTTGGAGACGGTTTGGAGACGGGTGTGTTTGTGTGCGTGCGTGTGTATGTATGTATGCGCGCTCCCAGTGTGAGGACTGCCCTGCTGGACAAACCCAAATCAGCCTGGCATAGTGGTCAGAGTGCTAGCCTGGGACTTTGGAAGTTCGGGTCCAGAGAGATCATCATCATAACAGTAATCCTAGAACTGAAGATCTCGGGATTGAGCCATTAAAACCTATTAGGTGACTCTAAAGAGGTGCGATCTGTCTCTCTGACTGACCGACCTACCTCACAGGGTTGTGAGGAGGAACACAGGGTGGGGTGCGGGGAGAACCATGTTACTCATGTTCTGTGCTGACCGGTCAGAAGCGGCTTACAGCGACCCTGAGAGGGCTTTCGAGGTCGCCGAAATATTTAAGAAGTGATCTTACCAGTTCCATCTTCCCTTACAGAGTTTCCATGGCTGAGGAGGGACTCGAACCCAGACCTCTTGAGTCCTAGCCTGTCACTCTGTTTGCTGCACCACACCAGGTAGGGGTGTGTATGTGTGTGTGTGTGTGTATAGTCACTTGAGTTTATTTTGAAGGAAATGTGAACTGTAGAAGGCTGCCCTGAAGCATAAGATTTGAGAACCTGTTTATTTAAGATCTTGCTAGCGAACTCTTTGTTATCTTCTTCCACACAGAGACCTTCTCCAACCTGTGTGCTTATCACTCATCTTTCCAACATCCTGGGTGGTTTGTCTGGCTTAGAAAAGGGAAATAAGGTGTTAGATTTTCATCTCAGCTCAAGCACTCTGATCCATTGTTGGTTATTTATTTTGCTTTTAAAGTCTTATATGACTTGGGACCCACATACTGGACCACCCATATGATCCCCCCCCCTGGTGCCAATTAAGGTCCAGTTTAAAGGTGCCAACCATGAATGCAGTTCAGCTGGAATGTATTCAGAAAAGATCCTTCTATGTTCTTGCTGCCATGCATCGAAAATCTTTTTCTGGGTCCTTCCAAAGTATGACATCTCTGTAAGGATTCAGGAAGGGATGGAAGGAGAGTTGTTTTGGCAGGCCTTTGGAGGCTGAAAATGGTGGTCTACT